AAATCGAGGTGTCACAGAAAACAGGAATGAACTTATTTTGACCATGTAAGAAGTTGGCTTTTAATCTTAATATGGAGTCAGGCTGGTCCATCACATGCTTAGGCTGGCACACTCAATAAATATTAATAAGAGTAAATATTGTTACTATTTTCATTCTTTGGTGACCAGGGGGCAGGGTTCGGGTTTTATTTATTTCTAATGTTTTGTTACATTTGTTTATTTATGATGGGAACAGTGCCAGCATGCAGTTGGAGGTCAGAGGACACCTTGCAGGAGCTGGTTCTCTCCTTCTGCCATGTGGATCCCGGGAGTCAACTCAGGCTGTCAGTCAGATTTGACAACAAACGCCTTAACCCTGCTGAGCCATCCCACCAGCCCCAGAGTTTGCTTTCATTTTATCTTTTATTTTGGGTTTGTTTGTCTGTCTGTCTGTCTGTTTTGAGACAGGGTCTCTCTACATAGCCCTGACTGTACTGGAACTCGCTCTGTAGACCAGGCTGGCCTCAAACTCACAGAGATCCATCTGCCCCTGCCCCCGCCGCCGCCCCCCCCCAATGCTATGATTAAAGATATACACCACCATGCCTAGTTAGAGTTGAAATGTAATGTTTGTTGTTGTTGATTTCATGTGCGTTGGTGTTTTGTCTGCATGTATGTCCTTGTCAGATCCTTTGGAACTGGAGTTACAGACAGCTGTGAGCTGCCATGTGGGTGCTGGGAATTGAACCCGGGTCCCCTGGAAAAGCCACCAGTGCTCTTAACCACTGAACCATCTCTCCAGACACCAGAGTTTGAAATTTAGATCATGCCTCATTTCTTTTCCCATAAACAGGACTCGTCATTTCTAAGCCAGCATTTCATCTACAGGTGTTAGACCCTATCAGTGGAAAGAATGTGGAAAGGCCTTCAGACAGCACTCACAGCTCACTGTACACCAGCAAATCCACACTGGGGAGAAGCCCTAGGAATGTAAGGTCTGTGGGAAGGGTTTTATCCATAGCTTAGAAGTTACTTGGAATCAAAGACTTCGGCTCTTACAGAAGACCTGAGTTTGGTTCCCAGCATTGTGGCTCACAAACATCCATAACTCCAGTTACAGGGGACCCAACACCCGCTTCTGGTCTCTGCAGGCACTAGCATGTACTTGGTGCACATTTTTGTAGTGCAAATTTGTGTAGACTTTTTTTGTTGTTTTTTTTTTAATTTAAATGTTTTTAATTTTTTAAAAAATATGAATTTAAAATCCCAAATGAACTTGAAAGACACTTTATGCTTACTTTGGGCATTGGAAAACTGAACAAGACAGGTTCTCATGTAGCCCAGGCTGGCCTCAAATTTGCTCTATAACCGGGATAAAGTTGAACTCCTAGTTCTCCTGACTCTACCTCCCAAGTGCTGAGATTACAGATGTTTGCCACAACTTTTAAGTTATATTTACTTACAAAGCCTGAAACTCAAGAATCCCATATAGACAGATTTTTCTTTCCCGGCAGCCAGTTCCCAAATAACCACACAGAGACTTATTACTAATTATAAATGCTCAGCCAATAGCTCAGGCTCGTTACTAGTTAACTCTTCCATTTTAAGTCAATCCATATTTCCTATCTACACTATGCAACATGGCTCGGTGTCTTTTCTCAGTACAGCAAGTCCTGCTTGCTCTGCATCTCCTCAAGACTCCCCCTCTTCTTGAAACTCTCGTTCTGTCTGCCAGTCTCACCTAACCTCTACCTGTCCGGCTATTGGTCAGTCAGCATCTTCATTAAACCAGTCACAATAATACATATTGACATGGAGTAAAGGAACGTTCCACCATGCATAGGAGAAGCATAGGAGGGGCAAGGGGTACACAGACTAGAGCTTCTACCCTTTCAGGGTCTGCTATCTGCCTCCCACCTCTCCTTTTTCAAAACAAGAGTTCTTTATGTAATCCTCGCTGTTCTGGAATTCATTCTTGCTCATCTTGAACTCAGAGATCCGCCTGCCTCTGTCTCTCAGTGCTAGGGTTGAAGGCGTGCGCCACCACTGCCCAACCATCTGCCATCTTCCTAATGCCTTAACTCGGCCCCAATCTTGGAGCCCACCAAGGGGCTATTGAGTTACATAATAAAGTGTTCAATCATCAACCATAAGTGATTCCATCATCCCCGTCCCTAGAAACCCAAGGATATTGGGAGTACTACAAGTCCAACCTTTTCTTCATGCCTTGGTCTTTCAGCCTAATCTGGGGGCCTCCAACATCTCATTAGCAAATGAAGAACCGTGTCAGTCACTCTGATGACTTCAAAGAATGACAGGAAGTGGAGGCAGGGCATCTGGTACCTTCATTCAAGCAGAAATATTCATGGGTTTTGTTTGAGGCAGGGTCTCTCTGTGGAGCCTTGGCTGGCTATCCTTGAACTCAAGCTCCTCTAGCCTCAGCCTCCCAAAAGGTTTACAGGCCCCCACTTCCGACATAGCTTACAGCACTGCGGGGTGCATTTACTTTCTACATTGACTTTAAACCGGCAATTGTAAGCCTGGTTTGGTGATACACACCACCAATCGCAGTAGTCAGCAGGATCACAAGTTCTAGACAGGCTAGAACTATGTGGCAAGGCCCTGTCCGGGGGAGAAAAGAGGTGTGGGTGGTGTGCGGCTAAAAAAGTAAATCCTAAATTATCAGAGAATTAGGAAGTGGAAAGATTCAGGTTGGAGAGCAGGTGAATACTTCGGCCACAAGGTGGCAGGAGAGTGCTACCAAACAGGTTTTGCGCTGACTTCCGCCCCGCGCAGCACCTTTCTGTGCATTGTTTGCCTGCTCTTTTGTTTTTTGAGGCAGGATCAAGCTGTGTAAGTCTGGCTGTCCTGGAACTCACACTGTAAACCAGGTTGGCTTTGAACTCAGAGAGATCCACCTGCCTCTGCCTCCTGAGCGTGCGCCGCCACTGCCTGCCTTGGTTTTTGATGTTTAGTTTTATGTGTATGGATGTTTTTCCTGCGTGTCTATTGTGATGAGTTGAGGGACGCCATGAGAGGAAGGGAAAGCCTCACATTGTGGTACATTTTACAGGGTCAAAGGATGGAGACACAGTCCTATGTAGCCCAGGGTTGCCTCAAATGTGAAATCCCCCTGTCTCAGCCAGGGTCCTGTGTTTTCTCTTATTCTGTGTCCCCGTCCCGCCCCCCCCCACACCCCCTACAGCACTAGAGACTGAACCCAGGGCTTTTTCACAAGCTAGGCAAGAGATGGACCCCTGAGTCAAAACCCAAACTCATTAATGGAGTCTAGATAGACACTCCCTTGCAACTCTGTACTCTTAGTTTTCTGCTCTATGTTTAGTTTTCTGCTCTATGTATATATACATCGATGGATGTTTACATGTGTGTATGTATAGGTGCATATTTCTGGGGGGGGTATGCACACGTGATATGCATACAGTGTTGTGTGTGTTTACACACAGGTAAATCTGTTCTGGCCATTGGGTTTTTGTTTTGTTGTTTTGTTGTTTGTTTTTTTGTTTTGTTTTTCGAGACAGGGTTTCTCTGTGTAGCTTTGGAGGCTGCCCTGGAACTCGCTCTGTAGACCAGGCTGGCCTCGAACTCACATAGATCCGCCTGCCTCTGCCTACCAAGTGCTGGGATTAAAGGTGTGCGCCACCAACGCCCGGCTGTAAATCTGAACTAAATGCAAAGATATTTGACTCCAGCTCCAGGGTTTTTTCTTCATTGTGAGCTGGGGTTTGGCTCAGGGGCAGAGTGCTTTCCCAGCACTAGCTAGGTGGCAGGTTTGATTCTGCACAAAACAGATACAGAGTTCCCACTAGAAACAATGGCTTTTGTTAGATTTTCTCAAAATTGCACTACTAGTTTCTTCTTTTCCTCCTCTTGATGTGCTTTTCAGACAATGCCTCAGGTAGTTCAAGCTTGCCTGGAACTTTCTGTACCCAAGACTAGCCTTGAACACCAGCTCCTCCTAGCTCCACCCACCAAGTGTATTTCTTTTTTCTTTTTTTTTTTTTTTTTTTTTTTTTTTTTTTTGGTTTTTCGAGACAGGGTTTCTCTGTGTAGCTCTGGAGCCTATCCTGGCACTCGCTCTGGTCTCCAACTCACAGAGATACACCTGTCTCTGCCTCCTGAGTGCTGGGATTAAAGGCGTGCGCCACCAACACCCGGTTTACTTTATCTTATTAAGTTTACTATTTATATATAATGGGAAGGCCACGAATGCCACAGTAGTCAAGCTTGCAAAGTTGAGCAGCAAGTATGCTTACACACAGAGCTGGCTCGATAGATAGCCTGTCTTTTTTTTTTAAATTGTGCTAGCTGAATTATGTTCTGAACCCAACTTCATTGCCTCAATAAACCTCTGATTATAGAGACAAAAAGATCATAAATCAAAAGCAAAAGCATCTAATCCCTAGTAGTTAGACCTGGTGACCTATGGTCTTGTATCTACAATTAAGCCTAACTCCTTATGGCCCCTAGTGTCTCACCCAAAGGCTGGTCTTAAAGAATGACAAAATAGTGGGCTGCTCTCTTGACCTCTCTTCAGGCTGGGTCGCACACAAAAGGCCTAGGAAGCTTAACTTCAGCTACAAAGGAATCACATTTTTTTTTTCTCTCAAAAGAACTCTCTCTCTCTCCCCCTCCTCCTCCCTCCTTCCCTTCCTCTCAGTTTGCTCTTGTGTTTCTGTTCAGTCTCTATTCTTCTTTGTTTTAGGTTGGTTTTGTTTTTTCCAGACAGACTGTCTCTGTGTAGCCCTGGTTGTCCTGGAACTTGCTTTGTAGACCAGGCTGGCCTCGAACTCACAGAGTTCACACCTGCCTTTGCCCCCCACCCACACCACCACCCCGAGTGCTGGTATTAAAGGTGCTTGCCACCACCGTTATTCTTTATAATTTATTTTTTTTATGTGCATTGGTGTTTTGCACACATGAATGACTCTGTAAGAGTGTTTAATCCCCTGGAACTT